TGACCGGTACGTCCGGCGGGCCCGGGCGGCCCCGCTGCCTGCCCGCGGCAGAGCGACCTGCACTGAGGGGGGAACCGGGGAAAACCTTAACCGCAGAGTGAGCGTGACCTTTCTGTCACACCACACGGTTGCATAAACGTGAGGAATAGTGCGGTTTTGTTCAGTCAGGTTAGCATGTTTATACAGCTGGTATCGGGGGAGAAGAGCATCTGTAGATCCCACTGAGAAGTCACAGAAGGCGTTTGGAGGTTGATGTGTTCAGAATCACGGGCTCACAGCTTCTGCATCTTTTGTGGCTCCTTATTCAAGTTTCAGGAAACCCGATGCTTTAAATAGAAAACTTACTTGGAGGGAACATTGGGAATTGCCTTTAAATGTGCCTGCAGAATTTTTATAAATATGTATTTACTCACAGAAGGGATTAGAAGCTAGTGAACATGAATCTGAACTTCTGTGTATTTGTAAGAACGGGAATGTTACTCTTAACTATGCTCTTCTGTCACGTTTTTAATCAATAATTTTGCACATTGTTTGAAACATATGGATAAATCTTTTTTGCCACATGCATGTTCAGAGGAAGAACGTTATTATTGTCTCACTGCATCTGTCTTTTAGGTCATTGTAAAACATATGCATTTTCATTGACAAAAGGAGGGGCTGTATGCAAATTTGTTGCCAGTACAGTGTCAGCTGTAATTCTCACTTTAACTTATGTTACCAATACAATGGTAAGAACTTTTCAAATACAGTGGTGTTTCTCCTTTCAGGCATGTCATTGCTCAGCGTGGAATTGCAGTCATAGATTGCTCATGGGCCAAGTTAGAAGAAACTCCCTTTAACAGAATGAGAGGAGGTCACCCACGGCTGCTGCCCTATCTGGTGGCTGCAAATCCTGTCAACTACGGTCGGCCCTGCAAGCTGTCCTGCGTGGAGGCTTTTGCTGCAGCGTTTTGCATTGCTGGTAGGCTGGGCTGTGTCTGATGTGCCATGTTACCAGCAATTCTTACATCCTTCATAAATCAGACAGGATGATCTGCAGTAGAACAAACTGCAGTGCTGTGCCACTGCTCATCACTTTGCTGAGTTTGGAATCAGATTGTCTAGCTTTCTTCCAAGAACTTTAATCTGGTAGCATCAAGGTATCTGGGGGGTGTTTGTGTCAGTTACTGAACAGGACACAAACTGATGACCCTGGTTTTGTCAGGATGGCACTTATGTTAGAAAACCTGTTTTTAAAAGCCAGAGAAGACCAAGCATGAACCCTTAGGCACCTTTGTCTTAAGGAGAGGTAACAGCTGCCTATTACCAGGTTGGGTTCTCATTAAGAACAAAAGAAATTGCTCCCTCTTGTGATATTTTGAAAAATCATCACAGAACTTCATTGACAATTGAAGAGGTGTGTCTACTACACTTCAGACAAATCCTACCTTCCAAAAATACTGTATGAACAACTGCTCCCTTACTGGAGGACTGTGGCAGCTAGAGCATGAATCATTCCTTACCTGTACAAAAGGTAAAGACTCAAAGTCTATTAACTTTTCTTGCATTCAGTTGGATATTTCAAGGTAAACCAAAGTTTGAAAAGACTTATTGTAGGGAA